GGTTAGTTTAAATACATTATAATTTGATTAATATTTAATTTTTTTTTACTGTTGAAGACATAAATAAAAACAATAGAGAATAGAAGAGGCAAAATGCTAGGCCACCTTATACGAATGACGATTTTTGAAAGAGCATAGTACTAATAAGGAATAATAGAGGGCAAAATAGAAAGCAAGAGAAAGAAAAATAATAACGTGCGACAGATAAAGGATACACAAGGTGTCCGCGTGGAGGTCGATGTGATATGGTACATTGATAGCAATAGGGGCTAACCTCCCCACTACTAACAATTTGTTTCCCCCAAAACAAGGTGTCATGTCGTATAGGGAGGTCAAAGATATGGCCTGGAATAGAGCTGGCTGGAAGACAATCCATGAATTACTTACTCCAACAAGAGGAACCAAGAAGAAGAAGAAGTTGAAGAGTACGATTGATCACAATCTTATCTGATGATAAGATGCAGTGATAATATGGTCTAAGTGAGAGGAAAGGGATTGTTAGCGATGGGGTTTAACAGCCCCAATGCTAGCAATGTTACTAATTAGGTTGACCTCCACGTGGTTCCCCCTGGAAACCATCGTTGCTACTTCTCGTGGAATTCTTCACGACGAGATAATTGACCTGCTTTCATCGTCAACTATCACCTCTCGCTGGTGCCCCGCCAGCGTAAACCATTAGCGCAGGCGAGGTTACTATTGCATTATCACCCATCAAAAAACAGTTCTAAGACGGAGCTCATGAATCCACAATTAGCCTATTCATATTTACATTAAATCGAGATTATATATGGTAGAAAGGGTGATAGCGGATTCCACAATCTGGTGATCAGGCAATTCTTAAGCACACACTCCAAAATATATATTATGTAGATCCTGTTATGTTGTATGTATTTTACCAGAGGGAGACTTTGTCCTCTTTCTCTTTGACTCTGTCCCATTCGTGTTTCAACCGTGAAGCAGTTGTGTTTGTATGGCTGTGTTTCGGTTTGAAGGGTGGGATATGGCGTGAATTTACAGGGTACAGAGGAATAACACCTGAGTCCTCAGGAATGGCAACGCATGGGGGGTATCATGGGCGAAATAGTATACTCTGTTATGTCCATGGTACTGCTTATGTCTATATGCGACGGTTACTACTTTCCATCAGGTGTTCCGTCAGCTTGTTTGCCATTCTAAGTTGTACAAGAAAAAATGGGTTATTACTATTTATCTCCATCAATCATATCCCGATTACGCAAGCGAAGTCGAGGGTGAAAGCTAGTATGCAATAAATTTAAATCTTGTAATATCAGTAAAGTTTGGACCTTCCGATATCGTCTATAAATCATTGACAATTCCTTTGTTAGCCATTTCGTTCCGTAAGCAGATTTAAAAGAACCTTTAAAAAGTTAAACAGTAAAGTTTCCTAACAACAATGAGATATTGTGTGATTAATGAAAAAATAGTGACTTGTTAATATTAAAGCTTGATTCAAGTTACAAAGTAGCGATACTCCATTACTGGATAACTTGGCCGCTCTCGTGGAAAGGGTTGGTTGCTTGAAGGGAAAATGTAGATCGTACCGTTTTTAAGGGACTCCCAACAGGAGGCGTAGCCTAATTCGTTCGTATATTCTTTTTTTTCTCTCTCTTGAGCCATATTTTTTTATTTTTTCTAATTGAACTGTCAAATCTTAAAATCATTAAACTAAATTTCTATTGCAGGTAGTATATTAATTTATTTTAACATTTATTATATAAGTAGTGTATGTATTTGTGTAATATTTTATTATATATTTTAATATTTTATTTAACTGTATATTTGTTTATGTATTAATAGTTGTAGCACTTCAGCTGCCCGCTAACGACATGCTTTCTAACTATATCGGGTCGACTGGAAGAGATCTCTGTCAGAGATAAGTCCACCCTTGCTCACAATATTTATAAATACATTATCTTATATGTAACTTACAAGTGCAATAAAGAATATGTATATTTTTACTGTGTACTTTACGACATTTAGACAAATTATTAGAACTATTGAGGACAGAAGGGGAAAAATTATGGGACACTTGATACGACACGACGAACTTATGAACATTATAATAGAAGGTAAGATAGAAGGAAGGAGGGGGAGAGGGAGACCGAGACATAGTTACATCAGGCAGATCAAGGAAGGAGTTGGTGTCGTATCGTATCAAGATGTGAAGAGACTCACTGAAAATCGTAGTGAGTGGCAAGAGCTCCACCGACAAGAGCGCAGCTCTTAAATGGATAGATAGATAGACTTTACGACATATTACGAGATTGGAATCAATTTTGATACTGATTTTCACAATTGCTCCATTGTTGTTTCTATAGTCAACATCATCATATCAGCCTTTAACTGTCCACTGCTGAACATAAGCGTCCCCCTTGGGGGTTTTGCAGTAGTTGCCAAATTTGGCAGGCGAATTGGCAACCGCAGTAAGGCTTTGGAGATATTTTAGGAGGGACGCTGCTGCCCATCACTCGCCCTCCTTCAGTCGCCTCTTACGACACCTATGGGAAAGAAAGGGGTGGCTTGTTCTATGCCGGGACCACACGACGATTTTTAGCAGTATCAATCAATTAATCAGTCAAAATAAACTTTACTCATATACATCTGTTACAGATTATTATAAAATGTCATTTTATAATTCTTGTATAAAATAATATTGATTAAATTAATTATATTAATTAAATACATTTTATAATTTTATCATTAGTAATTTATATTCAAAATTCTACACTCAATACAAGATTCCGCATTCTAAATTCAAATATTTTAAACCTAATAAATTTATGAATCAAATAGTCGTTCATCAGTGTTTTAATAATTTTAAAATAAGAATAATGAAGTCACTAATTAATATTAATTTTATTGCAATTTAGCGCGGTTTCAAAGGAATTTTCTTCCTCGAACGCTCAGGCTGGGGAATAAGTTTTCCCTAAAGATTACAGCATGGGGTTCTTGAAAAAAGTATATTAAGGTTTCTTCAGTGTCGGCAATGCGCACGTGACACTGCTAGTATTGCAGGTGTCTATATGCTACAGTGACTGTTTACCATCAGACCGGCGGTATGCTTGTTTGCCACCTTTGTAGTATAAAAAAGATATGTTTTTTTGCGAAACAAAATGTTTTTATTCAAATTAGTGTTATAAATGTAAAATTTGGAATGTAGTAGAACAAAATCACTTCGGTATAAGCGCACGAAGCCGCGGACGCAACTAGTATTAAATAAATGAACTTGTTACAATGGAACACTCAGAATGTATTAATAGCTACCAATTCAATTAAAGTATTTTATTATTCAAACGCCGTTTAACCATTTTTCACAGAATTAAACACCAGTTAACGAAGTGCCCGTAGACCGTAAATTAAATATTACGAATGGAAAAACGTCGGATTATATATATAATTAATGTGCCTGAATAATGACTTTACGTTATTAATACAATTACGGCAACAATCCGCCGCGGGGCTGACACGATTAGGTGGTGAAAGATTAATGCGTACAATGATTTACCTACAACAATGAACAGGATTTCTTTTACAAAAAACAGCGACATCTATCGTGATAATAAGTTGCTAAGTAATAAGCTGTTTCATTGACACATTCTAAATTCAAATATTTAATTCAAATATTTAGAATGCGGAATCTTATGTTAAATTTAGAATTGTAAATATCGGTTTTAATCATAAAAATAAAATGGCAACGCGTGGGTGGTATCATTGGCGAAACAGTATATTCTGTTATGTCTATGGTACTGCTCATGTCTATAGGCGACGGTTACCACTTTCCATCAGGTGGGCCGTCAGATTGTTTGCCATTCTAAGTTGTATAAAAATTTTGCCACTCACGCGTACTTAATTACAGGTAAAAACTAGTAAGGAATAAAAGCTGTAAATAAAGTGAGATATTTTATTTATTACCTTTTGTATCTAAATGGTAAATTATTTATTGTGAATTTTAACAATCCAATCACTGTAACAGATTTTTTTTTATATAACATAGAATGGAAAACAAGCTGACGGCCCACCTGATGGAAAGTGGTAACCGTCGCCTATAGACATGAACAGTACCATGCACATAACAGAGTATACTGTTTCGCCCATGATATCCAAACATGATATAACAAATTTGTAGAAGTGTATATAAAATAATAGGTTCTCCAGTTACAAGCTCAACCCTTATGGGGACCATAGTTAAACAATTCTGTACCTTATACTGTTTTGAATAAAAAATATATTTATATACAAAATGGAATATGACATTGGATACTTTATTAACTCATTCATAAATACTTTATAAATATAACTCAATGTTATTTATATACATATAAATATAAAATTATATACAACGGATTTGAAAAGCATAACTGTTTGGTTTTTTTGCGTATATTTCTTAACAGATAACATTCTGAACGCAGCAGTAGAATCATAAAACAGGACGATTTCAAAGAGCTCGAAAATTTTCGTATTTAGATGAAAAATATTTCTATTTTAATCCCTTTTTTTCTTGTATAAGACCGGCCGTGCGGTCCCGGTATAGAACAGGCCACACCTTTCTTTCCCGTGGGTGTCGTAAGAGGCGAGTAAGGGAGGGCAAGAGATGGGCAGCAGCGTCTCTCTTAAAACATCTCTAAATTCTAACTGCGATTGCCATCCCGCCTGCCAAACGTGGCAACTACTGGCAAAACCCCTCAAGGGAGGCTTATGTTCAGCAGTGGACAGTTAAAGGCTGATATGATGATCAGAATGACTGAATAAGACCGCCTTTTTTATTAGAATGGCAAACAAGCTGACGGCCCACCTGATGGAAAGTGGTAACCGTCGCCTATAGACATGAGCAGTACCATGGACGTAACAGAGTATACTGTTTCGCCCATGATACCCCCCATGCGTTGCCGTTCCTGAGGACTAAGGTATTATTCCTCTGTACTCTGTAAATTCCATAATAATTATGTATAGATTAATACAACCTTTATTTTTGTCCACAGCGCCACCTACCGCCGTGGAGATCACAAATCACCCACCAAACTCGAAGATAGAAGTGAAGCAGGGTGAAACAGTAGCGTTAGAATGTATGGTGAAGAACTCGAAACCAGCTGCCAAGATTGTGTGGTACAGGGGAAACGTCGAGTTCAAGGGGGATAAAGGTAAGTCGTATACATCATACTAGTTGTATTCCGTGGCTTCGCTCACATGGGTTAATAAATAAAATATCATATGTGATAAGTCCAGAGGGAGACTTTGTACAAAAGTCGATTGCTTGGGTACCTCTGTCCCATTCGTGTTTCAACCGTGAAGTAGTTGTATTTGCATAGCTGTATTTCGGTTTGAAGGGTGGGATATGGCGTGAATTTACTGGGTACAGAGGAATAACACCTGAGTCCTCAAGAATGGCAACGCATGGGGGGTATCATGGGCGAAACAGTATACTCTGTTATGTCCATGGTACTGCTCATGTCTATAGGCGACGGTTATCACTTTCCATCAGGTGGGCCGTCAGCTTGCTTGCCATTCTAAGTTGTATAAAAAAAAAGTTAAAATATAGTTACCAGTGTACTAAATTCATTTTAAATCAATTTAGTAGTTTTTGTGTAAAAGACTAATTGACGTCCATCCATCCATCCTTACAAACTTTTGTATTTATAATATTAACGGGAATTTTTTTATGCAATTTCAATGATCACTGGTGATCACTGATGATCACTGGTGGTTAGTGCAGGCGGGGCTATCATTCCATTTTCACCCATCAAAAATAAAAAATACGGTTGCCAACCCACCTGTCAAGCGTGGCAACTACTGGCAATCTCCCCCTCCCCCTCTCCCCTCACCAATGGGAAGAAGCCTATGTTCAACAGTGTTAAATACAGGAAAACAATTTTTTTTTACAACAGAAGGGCAAACGAGCATGCGGCTCACCTGATGGTAAGTGACTCCCGCCGCTCATGATCACCCACAACACCAGTGGCATTGCAGGTGTGCTGCCGGCCTTTTAAAGTCAATTTTGACTTCGATCACTTACCTATCACCTTTCATTAGTACCCCGCCAGTATACCAAGGGGGGGTACTTCAAAAGAGGGTAAAGAGGTTTCTTCAGGGTCGGCAACGCACGCGTAATACCCCTGGTATTGCAGGTGTTCATAGGCTACGCTAACCACTTACCATCAGGTGGGCCGTATGCTTGTTAGCCACCACAGTGGTATAAAAAAAAACCAACAACGCAGCTGGGTTACCACACCATTTTCGTACTTAATAATATTTACAAATAAAATATAATTTCAATACAATGTCCAATTGAAATATGGAAACAATAATCATATTTCGAAACAGTTAAACAAACACTCGACGTACGAATACAATTAAATATATATATATATATATATATATATATATAAATTGCTATAAATGCAAAAGTTCTGTTAATATAAAGAACTCATTATTGTGTGCATTATGTAATAAGAGATACGATTTTGATTGTGCTGGCTACTCAGAAAAATTATACCGCATATTGGATAACGAATCCAGGAAAAACTGGATTTGCAAATCATGTGGAAAAGACCAAAATACTACACATACTGAACAACCTCATGTCACAACAAGGAAAAAGCAATTATTAGTAGACAAAATCTCGAGCCTTACAAACAATGCTAACAAAAAATTGTATACAGAAGAATCATCTGAAAAAATATGTGCCAGTGGTATCCTAGACTCTCATATACTTACCGAGAATGATACTTTTGACGGATCGATTTTCTCTCCAAATAAACTCTCAAAAAGCTTGGATGGTACCATAACAGAGACAGGTGCACTTCGGGATGAAATGAAAGAAACGATAACGCAATTATCATCCCAGCTAGAAAGCACGCAAAACGAGTTAGATAACATCATAATCGAAAATAACGATCTCCATAGACAAGTTAAAAAACTAACTACTGAAAATAAAGTACTTAAATCACTATGTCATCCATCCTCAGCCGAATTGCAAAATAGCTGTAGTGCAACGAAAGAGAAAAGATATTCGGAGCTCTTTCACTCTACGTTCTCTACACCGTCGTCCCCAATCATTGCGACAAAAGCAGACCGTAATTTGACAAATATGCAGCATAAAATTACAGACTTGCAACAGCAACTACAGGACGCATTAAAGGAGATTACAAAGCTTACAAAACAAATAGATAATCTCACGAATAAATTACATGCATCGAAATCAAACATGAACACCCGTTCCATCACGTCGGATGTACCAAAACCTGAATCCAAGAGAAATATATTTATATATGGAACTCAGCAATGTACTGGATTAGCTTCTACTATCATACGTTCGAGAGAGACGACCACCTATGAAAAATATGAAGTTACCGCGGAAACGAAACCAAATGCACTGAGTCGGGAGGTAGTGAAGAACTGTAGAAATATGAAATTGAATAATAATGACAAACTTATACTATGTGTGGGCGAAAATGACTATAATATGCAGGCCGTTTTAATGCAATTACGTTTCTTATTGAATAAGTTTAATAATAATCAGGTTATTATATTAAGTGTGATAAATAATAATAAATTAGACTTAAAGAAAATTAATGATAATATCAGTATGTTATGTAATCAATACAAAAACTGCAATTTTGTAAACTGTAATTATTCTAAATTATCTGACATTTGTAAATCAATTAATTATATCATTGACTGTAGTGACTATGACAACAAATATTTAAATCTAACAAAACTTAAAAAAAAATATTATGAGTAACAAATCAAATAATTTAAAGAAAACTGCTTACATTTGTCACAGACGGGGAACAATTCCATATTATTTTCAAAAGAAAAATGACATTGTAGAGGTAAACAGAGACAAAAGTTGTGAAAACTGTACTATAAAAACATGTACAAATTCTATAGATGTAAAAACAATTATAATAAAAATAAGTATACTACATATGCTAATATTTTAAAAAAATGTATCTTTAGCTCAAAGAAAATTGCAAATATAAAATACATTAAGAAAAATGATAATAAATGCAAAGCGACATGGACTGTTATAAAAAATGAAATCACAAATACAAATATAAAAAAAGGTATAGAAACTATTAAAATTGGTGATACAGTAATAACAAATCCTATAAAAATACAACTGCATTTAATGACCAGTATATTGATCACATAAGCAGCACAAAAAGCAATAACATAAATAGTAGTTACCCTAAAAATTCAAGAAATAACTCTATGTTTCTTAAACCAATGACAGAAAATGAGGTTAGAGTGGAAATTCTGACATTAAAAAATACTAACTCCGAAGGTTATGATGAAATTAATACAAAAATAATAAAAGCATGCACAGATGAATTGGTTGGGATCTTAACACACCTAATTAACTTATCGTTTTCAAGTGGAACTTTTCCAGATTCTTTAAAATTTTCAATTGTAAAGCCAATATTTAAAAGCGGTAAAATGAATGATATTAACAATTATCGTCCGATTACGTTAATTCCGATTTTATCCAAAATATTTGAAAAATGTATGTATAAGAGGCTAATAGAGTTCAGTAATAAATATGATATTATTAGCAAAGACCAATATGGCTTCCAAAAACGGAAATCAACAACATTAGCCATTTATTCCCTTATAAAAATAATAATGACTAATGTCAATAATAACAATTGGACCACAGGATTATTTTTTGACGTATCAAAGGCATTTGATTCTGTTTCACATGACCTTTTATTAAAAAAATTAGAAAATAATGGAGTTAGGGGGCCAGCTCTTCAGTGGATAAAATCTTACTTATCGCACAGGCAACAACGTGTTGTATGTAATAAAATAGACAAAAATAATAATATGACATCGTACTCATCTGAATATAGATTTAATAAATATGGAGTACCGCAAGGAAGTGTGTTAGGCCCAATATTATTTTTATTTTATATAAATGACATTACAAATATATTTGACCATAAATGTATCTTATTTGCAGACGATATTTCTATCATTGTGATTACTGATAGGAAAAATAATACTATTATGAATCATGAGAATCAAATTAACAATACAATTGACAAAATAATAAAATGGACAAGTCTTAATAATTTACGAATTAATTTTAATAAATCTAAATATATGCAATTCAATAAATCTATTAATAATACGAGTTTGAAATTAAAAGTTGCGAACATCGAAGAAGTGCTGCAAACAAAATTTTTAGGAATCAACATAGACCAAAATTTAGATTGGAAGTCTCATATCGCATACATTTCTAAAAGGATTAATACTTTCGTATACGCTCTTAAACGACTTAAAAACGTAACAAATATTAAAACAGCAATCACAACGTATAATGCATATATACAATCAATACTACGATATGGACTCATAATGTGGGGCAATAGTACGGAAAAAAATAGAGCATTTCTTGCCCAAAAAAAATGTATTAGAGCATTGTATGGTCTTTCACCTCGCGAATCGTGTAAGCCGGTATTTAGGAAGCTTGGTTTGTTACCACTACCGTCTCTATATATTTATGAAATTTGTATGTTTGTACACAGCAATAAATATTTGTTTAAAAAAGCTACTGATATATATCCACGGAATCGACGTAATCCAAATAGACTCGTGCTGGATGACATTCCCCGTCTAGCTAAATATGAAAAAAGTTGTTTAGCTATGTGTGTAAAAGTATATAATAAAATACCGACTGAATTAAAATTGTTAAATGTGAATTTATTTAAAAAGAGATTGTATACTTGGCTGAATATAAATAGTTTTTATGATGTAAAAGACTTTTTAAACAAAAAACAAAATGTTAATCGTTAACCTTAAATGTATTTTTGCATGCTATCACCTTGTTAGCTAAGCACGAATGTTCTTTGACTAATGTAAATTAAAAAAAAAATGTATATATATATATATATATAAATATATTGCATTTTACTTAGTACCTACCAGATTGAAAACATACCTATCCAATTCTCCGTTTGAGTGTACTTACCTTCGGGGCTTTTGTTTTCACAATGGCCCTTCGTAACTAAAGTAACTGGCGGACAATGGAAAAACGTAACTGTATCGCGAAAGTACTTGTAGGTTATTATTATTATTATTGGTAATTTTTCCCGCGACTTGGTGTTCGTGAATTTCGAAAGAAGGTTTTTTTTTTCAT